ATATTGTGGGATAGTGTCTTCTACTTTGGTTTTTCATTTCTTTATTACTATCTATCATACACAGTATATTCACACATATACAAATCCATATACATGAATATATGTACATACACACATATTGTCACAGCTTTATAAGTCTTTTAGGGGTTTATTCTTTCAAAAGTATCGTAAAGTTACTTTTCAGAGCACTTTCAGAAGACAAACACAAGGTCTCAGTGTGCCAATTTGATCCAGAGATTATATGGAGTTTTTCATGCCTGGCATGAATCTAGTTTTGGCTTCATTTACAGAGTAGAAGGGGTATATATCCTGCTGGATCAACAAATCAGTTTCAAAGTTCCTTAGACTTTTATCTCATGTTTTGGTGAAAGTACTTCTTATAATTTAGAAGCACATTATATATTTTATTTAAAAAATAGGGGCTGGGGATTTAGCTCAGCAGCATAAGCGCCTGCCTTGTAAGCAGGCAGTCGTGAGTTCGATCCCTTGTACCGATAACAATGAAAAAAACAAAAAAACCAAACAAACAAACAAAAAAATACTTACACCAAAGGAAGAGGAGCATTTTTTTTTTTGCCCAAAGGACAAAGAAATGAATTTCAGAGATGGGTACCTAAATTAGTTGTCAACATAAACCTATATTGATTTGTTATTTAGTCAATATTTAATAGGTATAACAAGTAGAGAGTAATTGATCATCTTAATGTCTGCACTCAAGGTGATTCATGTAAGAAACACTTTTCATAGTTGGCCCTTCACATACAGATACAATCAATTGAAAATTACTTATTAAAAACTGTGTCTCTAACTGAATATGCAGACTTTCCCCTTTGCCATTATTCCATAAACATTATAGTATAGCAACTATTGGTAGAACATTTATATTGTATTAGGTTTTATATGCAACATAGAGACCATTTAAAGTATTTAGGAGAATGTACACATGATTTACAGAAATACTATGTCATTTTATATACAGGACTTGGGCATCTGTAGATTTTGGAACTCTGGAGGAGAACAAAACCAGTTCCCTCATAACTATTGAGGGATGATTGCAATCTTGTTTCTGTTAAGAGAACATTCAAAGAGTCTCCTCTACATTAAGTATTTCTTCGAAGACACAAATCTTTATCTTCACTGGATAGGTCAAAAATATTTCATATTACCTAGTTGGTTGGTGAGAATTCATAAAAAATACATACCCTATACTTCACATGGTAGGCAGATGAAATACCTGCTATGATGTCCAAGTTGATTCCTATAACCTGTTAATGTATGAACACATTGCAAAAGTCACTTTACAGATAGGATTTGATGACTTTATCACACAGAGATAATCTTGTAGATTGAGTATGCCCATTATAAGAATATAGGCTCTTACAAGTTTAAAAACAAGGCAGAAGATTCAAAGAGGGGAAGTGTATATATGACTTTATCCACTACTGTTGGCAATGGAGGGAGGGACAACTGACCAAGGAATGCAGGTGACCACTAGCTGCTGCAAATGGGTCTTACTGTCAGCCAGGAAGAAAAATGAGAATTTCACATCCTCAGTTACATAAAACTCAAATATATGAATAACCTGAGTGAGCTTGGATGCAGATTACCTTACCCCCCCAAAACTCCAGAGAATAACAAAGTTCTCCTAATACCTTGATTTTGGGCTTGTGAGTCACTGGTAGAGAAATCAGCTAAAGCTAAATCTTGTTCTTTTTAAGATGTTAAATTTGTAGCAATTTGTTATGGAAATAACAAATTAGGAGTATTTGGCCTTGCAGTGAATGCCAATACTCAAATCTTCAGTACAGAATTCAGCTTTAATTTTTTCAGAGGCCTTTCTAACATCTAGTTACATTTCTACACAATAGACTTGAAACTCTAGATAAGTTTCAGAAAGATATAGTAATACACAGCAAAGGAAAAACGGTATACAATACTCAAACTTTATTTGTGCCTATGAATAATTGATTCAAAAGTAAAGACATGCTCTTTCATCAGTTGAACTAATGTAAAACAGAGAAGAAGCAGATTCAAGAATCCTCAGTAAACATAAGGTGGAGTGCCAAGATCTTGATCAACAGATTTACTGCTTTGACCTAATTTTTTAAGCTGAAGACGACATATCAGTTTATACTATCTCATGATAAGTTGGTAAGTTTGATGCAGTTGATGAACTGGTTTAGTGGTAGACGCCCATGGTTATATGTGGGAGGACTGATGGTGTGAGAAATACACCTGCTATACCTGACTAAAGCACAGTAAAAATACATGAACTATTGCATTGATTCAGAGAGCAAGAGGAAACATATTGTCAGAAGAACACTTGTAGTTAAAATTCAGGGGTTAAAAATATGCCACTTAATTTCTCTTTCAAGCTGAAATATATCTATCTACTATTGTTATATTTAAATACTCTCAATTCTTTGTTGTGGGCTGTTTGTAAGGGTCCACAATTAAGTGCCACTTTCTTTCATAATTGAGTGATGTAAGCCTTTTGTTGTAATCTTTTCTCCTGAGAAGTGGGAATAGGTCCAGGAAGACTGGGATGGAAGGCAAACCGAGCAGTACTCATTATACCTAAACTCATTCCTTCTGTCAGATGACCATGCTTTGTTCTTAAAACAAATTCATACTTTCTCTTTCTCAGCCACCAGCTGAGTTTCCTACCAGGAAACTTCCAAGTTGCTCCTATAAAGATATAGTCTTTTTGATATTACTAAACATGAGCAAGCCAATAAAGCACAAAAGTATAGGATTTATATTGGGAACTAAAGTTAGCTAACAATCTCTTTGTCTCCCAGGAATAGTTCTGCCTTTTTTTTCACATAGTACTATGTTTGATCATTTCATGGCTTGGTTGTCTCATCCTATGCTTATCTTAGATTTAAGACCATTATACATAATATAAAAAATTGTTAGAAGTGATAAGCATGGGCATTGTAAGAGATATTATGTTTTTTTTTCAGAAATTACATCTGAATATTCACAACAGTAGGCAGAAAAGTATCACTCATGATTTAGCAATGTCATAATGCAAGGTATAATTGGCAATATACTCTTTTAAACACTTGATTCTAGCTATATACTTTCCCCAGATCATTTAGATGCTATGTTATATTGGTAGTCAAACTGATGAAATGAATGACTTACAATGTCATCTGCTTTCGATGTGAGGCGATTTTCTTTCTCCTTTTAACACCACTTCAAGATGAGATCAATTGTTCTTTTCTCTCTGAATTCAATAGACTTCAGTTCATTTTGGCTTATGATCAAGTGGATCAACATCTTCCCATATCTTCATAAAATATGTACACATTCACTGCATATGTAATATGTAAATGTTGGTTTTTCTAATCTCTAGTGTTTTTTAAAATTTACTAGCCCTATAAAATAACTTGTTTACATTCACACAGCTCCACCTGTCATCCTTCATTGTTACAATATTTCTGATTGATCCAGACTACATTTGCAGATGCCTCCACTAAAAGTGTTTCAGGCAGCAGCCTGCAATAGAAGTACTTTAATAAAATTAACTTTTAAAAATATGACGGACATAGTAGAGTGTTAATGCTATTAGTTTACCTTTTTTAAAATGTGTATAATTTTATAAAGAGTTAATGGTGAAATTTCATGTAATGAAAGCACCAAGACAGAGATTTTTGGAAAAGGAATTGTATTCAAAGAGTAAGTCTAAGAAATTGTTGTTTTCTACAGGAACCATCAATCTACCTCTGATTTTAATAAACTTTTCATTTTACCAATAATATACTGATTGTTTTTTACCAGATGCATCAGTATACTGAGTTCGTAAAATCTCTATTTTTCAGTCCATTCACAAAGTTTCTTGTTGTTCTTAATTTAGCTTTTTAATACCACATTTAGTTTATTTTACATCACTAATTTGTTTGAACAAGACCACCATATTAAAAAACAGGAAGTGATTTTCACTAAAATATTGTTAGACAGTGAACAGGGTAAACAAGCAGCAAACCCTTTAGGGGAGTCAGATCAACATTTTGGGAAGAATATTTCTGGAACATTTCTTCCTAAATGGCCAGGTAGTTTGTAAAATGAAACTGCAGTTTTATCTCCCTAAAATATTATAATGCATAAGACACCTCAGAAAAAATACGTGGGAAGGCCAGTCCTCTTGATAATTCCATTCTTTCTACCTTAACTCCTTTTGCTAGTAGACTTCATATTTTGTGATCATTACCATTTGCCCAAGTGAATGACAGCTCTGAGTTGCTGGCCGCCTTCTGACTCAGTATGGACAACCTCGCACTGAACGCCCTTAGTTGCCCTTTTGGGCTCCTTCAACAGACGAGGACACAATTACACTGGGATTAGTTCTAGGAAGTTGGAAAGGATATGGACAATCACCCAGTCCGACTGTTTCTAATTTACATACCCCAAAATCTTAAATAGTGGCAAATCTGCAATTTTCAATACTCGACTGAAGCCTCGCACAAACTCTACATTTTCTGGTGCTCTGCAATGCCATGTTTCCTTGTTTTCTGCTAGGATGACATCAGATTCACGATAAAAAGGAAGTTCTGACTAAGGGATCTTCGGTGGAATCGCCTGGAGTTGGGAGGAGGAGGTTCACCCTAGCGCTCTTTACAACTGCTCTGAGCGTCTCTGAGGTTCCTTCGATGTGTCAATCAGTCTCCGTGCTTTCATCTCCCGAGTCAGAAACACCTATCGGGCAGCACTGCCCCCAAGTCGGAGAACTCCGCCAGCACCTCACGCGACCGGAACACCAAACCCAACCAGCTCCCGGCCCTAACCAGGCACCCGCTTGCCCGCATGCGCGATACAGCGCCCCCTCCGGCACCGCTCATCCTCTAGCAGACACCTCGGAGTAACGCAAGAGCCGCTGCGCCACGACACGCATGCGTATGTGAGCACCACCCAGCTGCTGGCAAGATTGTCCTCAGCGCTCCCGCCCCTTCCGCCGCTCGTGCGCGCGCACGGCCGGCTACGGCGCGCCGGGGTTGGCTGAGGCGGGACCGCGGCGGCGGCGGCGGCGGCCTCCAGAGCGGTAGTGGCTTCCAGTTGGCTTTATTAGTTTTTCTCCGCCCCCTCCCGTCGGACGCTGTTGTGTGGTTACCTTAAAAAACCCAACTTTATTGTTCCTCAGCCCCACCTCCTGGCGCGCGTCCTCAAAGGATGCATTGGAGCTGAGGGAGGTGGTGGCGGAGGGTCGCGGTCGCCGGCCCTCTCCTCCCAGCGCCCGCCCGGCCGGGAGGAGGGAGTCACGATGTCCGGTAGCCGCCAGGCCGGGTCGGGCTCCGCCGGGACGAGCCCTGGCTCCTCGGCGGCCTCCTCGGTGACTTCCGCCTCCTCGTCCTTATCCTCGTCCCCGTCGCCCCCTTCCGTGGCGGCGGCGGCTGCAGCGCTGGTGTCAGGCGGGGCGGCTCAGGCCGCGGGCTCCGGCGGCCTCGGGGGCCCCGGGCGGCCTGTGCTGGTGGCGGCCGCCGTGTCGGGCAGCAGCGGCGGGGCGGTGTCCGCGGGCCTGTCCCGGCTGAGCTGCGCGGCCAGGCCCAGCGGCGGCGTAGGAGGGAGCAGCTCCAACCTCGGCAGCGGCAGCAGGAAGCGCCCTCTGCTCGCCCCCCTCTGCAACGGTCTCATCAACTCCTACGAGGACAAAAGCAACGATTTCGTTTGGTGGGTTGGTAGAGCATCCGCTCTCCGCTCGATTACGGGTGGTGGAGTGGGAGGTCGGGCGACCTGGTCGAGAATTTGGGGGTACTGGTGCGCTGGGGGCGCCTATCCAGGGGTTCAGAGTTTGCTGAGACCTTCAGGCTCCTGGTTTGGGGGTGGGCATATAATAAAAGCAGTGAATGGTTTCAGTGCTGCTGTGCAGAAAGAGAAAGGAGTTTAGGGAATAACAAGGGGAGGAAGTCAAATAAATGGTTAAGCAGAAAAGGAGAAATTTGGGCAAGGACGCTGCATCTTGAGTTATTTTGGCCGACTAGTGAATTAGGCACCCAGTTATCCGCTGTACTTGTTTAGATGAATTAGATTTGTAGTCTTGAGGACTCACTCGGCTTCCGGGGATGCTGAGGGAAGGGATTGCTGATCACAGTTTGTTTAAGTGTGATGAAGGATGCTGTAAGCACGAGTTTGGATGTTTTAAGGAGAAATAATCTTTACTCTGTAAGTATGAATGTGTCTCTTCCCAAAAGGTAGGCAGGCCACTTTTGAATCTATAGAGGCCACTGTAGACGAAGTCTGTTCACGAAAAATTCCACATTTCAGACGATTAAGTTGAAACAGGGAGCCACACATTATTCACTTCCCAACTTGAGAAGGGCTAAGTGTAGAGATTTTGTTGTCATAATAAGTAAAAGGTTGGGTTGATGGTTTTGAAGAGAATGTTTGGGAATTTTCGTTGGATTTTAGAAGTTGGTTGGATTATGGGAACGTAATTGCTTTTATCTGATAGGGTTTTGTGCCTTTTCTCTGGAAAAAATTATTGACAGACTGTGATATGTGAGAAATTAATTCACTTTAGGGTTGAGGATGATCAGAATTGATGTTGTTAAAAGTAGTATGGTTATAAATTGGAACTATTAGAAGAGTTCTGAATTAGATTTACAGTTTGTAGACCTGTAGGAAAGCAGTAATGTCTTTATTAACATTTCTGCTTTTGTCTTAAATTGTTCTAAATTTAGAATTTATTTTTTATTGAAGCTGGAGCATAACTGATTGTTAAGTTAAAACAGTTCATGGTTGGATAGAAGAGGTGTTTGCACAACTACCCAATTATTTGTGCCACATGATAACATAAAGCTGTTAAAGCTAATTGGAGGTTTGTAGAATTTAGTTGTTTTTTAAGCCACTCTTTATATTTCAGTATTCAGTAGGTTAAAAGAAATATGCCGGCATCTTTATAGGTCACTAAAATAGCGCAGAAGGCAATAGAAGTTAGGGCTAAGGGAACCAACCATTCATTGAGTCATTCAACAGATACAGTGCTTGCTGTTGCTGTCTCCCAGGCACCATCTGAGTTTCAGTGTGGAGAGGCTACGTTATAGACTTTTGGAGAAGGACAAGGGGAGCCGCTGATACTGATTTTTTTTTTTTTTTACAGAGTAAAATTACACTAATACAGTCATATTCCCATTGGGGGTCAAACATATAACTTTGTTTCTGACTAGACAAACGTATCGTATCCCCTCACCACCACAACAGGTGAGTGAGAACTTAGATCTTCAGAATTTTAATTTAGTCCTTTTTTTTGCGTCCAATTAGTAAGTCTCATTTTTTTTTGGTTTGAATGCTTGTGTTTAGCCCAATGGTTGTGCGCCTCGCCTTCCCACACTGAAGTCTTTGGACTGAGCTACATCCCTAGCGTTGTTTCTTTCTTTTTTTTTTTTTTTCTTTTTAAAGACTAGATCTCAAAAAGTCGCTAGGTTGCACAGGCTGGGCTTGAATTTGCCATCCTCCTACCTGAATCTTCCCAAGTTCTGGGACTGTAGGCATGTGCCTATAGCCAGTGGTTCTTAAACTGGGTAAGTTGGAGGGAAGCAGCTGTTTCATTCATATGACATAAATGTTTTTAATCTTTTGATCCCAAGAAGACATTGGAGGTTGGGATAAGCATGCCTTCTTCTTGACTGAGAACATCTGATTTAAGTAGTCATGTACCTAATTTTAGGGACAGATACTGGTCTCTCTTGACTTACATTTAAAAGTAGCTTTATGTTTATTTGCGAGATTAACATTTTAAAGATTATTTGCATCTTAATATTTCATACCAAAGACTGAAAGTATTGTCAAGTTACAGGTAATTTTAACAATTTTATAGGTGGAGAATTTCTGGTATAGGAGTGAGTACTGTTTAACTTGATGTTATATAAGTGAGCATTCAAAGGAAGCTTTTGTTACTTTGATTTTTTTGGTGTTTTTCTAATATTGTGGAACTATGAATGTAGACTGTTTGGATGATGACTTCTGTCTTCTGTTCTGACTTACTTGTTTTATTGTATAATTATTGTCTCTGGGTTGGTCTTTCCATGTATCTGAAGTGACCTTTTCCACTCACAAAACAGGTAATTTTTCATGTTTTAGCAGAAACACGTGATTGCAAGTTAAACTTCTTGTGAGAAGGTTTAACTTTTAATTATCTGCATGAAAAAATAATATCTACGCTAAGTAGATTTACTATTTATTAAATATATGACTGCCTATTTCTTGTCAAACTAGGAAGACTGATTCTCATTAGAAGTTCATGATTTAAGTCAAAGAAAAACGTAACCACATAATTATAATATAGCTTGGTATCATTGCTTTTCTTAGTACCATGGAAGATACTAGTACCATTTCCTTTCTGTTACCATGCATATGTTAAATTGTAACATGTTAGATGTTGTTTCAGTCCTTCACATAATAATTTAAGAAGTCTATATATCACATTTAGTATTAAAAATGAAGCTTGTTAACCATATTTGCTTCTATATTTTCTGATTTATTAAAAAATAAAACAACTACATGTGATATCACACACCTGTAACCCAGTAGTCTGGTAGCATAAGGCAGGAAGATCTGAAGTTTGAACCCAGCCTGGGCAACTTAATTTAGTCCTGTGGAGTGACCTGTGGAGAGATCCTCTCTCAAAATAAAAAGGGCTGGATATGTAGCTTAGTGAGAAGGTTCTGACGAGAGTCTCCAGTAACACACCAAAAGCACATGAGCAAAACTAAGTAAAATAGGAGATATAGAACCTATTGTGAAGATGAAGATAATAATACTGCTTGATTCAGTTCAGTTATTATACGCGTGTACAGTTTATATGTGGTATGGTTCTTACTGAGTGTCAAGGTAAGAAAAATTTGAGTCATCGTATTATAGGATTTAATCTTCCCTATGTTAAGAAAGCAAGTGGAAAATTTCAGTGGCCTTTTTAGACTACAGTGAGTTTATAAATTGGGATTAAATTAGTTTAAAGAGCTGTTAAAGCGTATTCAATTATTGAAATCAGCTTCAGGATTTATTACTTTATTAGTGTATGAAAAGCCATCAAGAACTTTGTCTTGAATATACAAAACTAACATTTGATTGTTTTGCAAAATATTTTTTAAAAAGTGTCTTTTTTTGGAGGAGAGGTTCCTATGTAGTTTAGGCTTCAAACTTACAGTTCTCCTTCAGCCTTACATGTGCCTTTTGAATGAAAATGATGAAGAAATGTATTCTGGAGATGATGTCAAATTATAGCCGTTCAGAATGGTCCATCTGACTATCATCAGATGGTGAATCATCAACATCATTTTTAGCAGAAAATTTACGTGAACTAAATGTGAAAAAAAATGAAGATGGTTATGAAGCAGGATACAAAAGGCTATTAATTTGAATTCTACTCTATAAATTGAGAGGGAGTTATTTGTGAAGAAATAATACATTATCAAAGAACTAGTTGATTGGGAGTTACCTCTTCCTGGTACAGATCTTTTTTGTCTTTCCTGTTAGTGAGCTAACATTGCATAGGTGATCCATATTCCTTTAAGGACTGGTATTAATGGCAAATTTAAACCTTATTGTCTGATTTTCCTCCTCATATTTGTTCTTGATGATTTCTTTATATCATTTTTTTTTATCCTGTAACCCTTTTCCTCAAAACCTCTAAACCTCTGCAGCTTGAGAGGGGTTTCCCCCTCTCTCCCATTGCACCCAGTGTTTTTGCTCTAAGGTATATTCTCAATCCTTTTCCATTTTGTATTTTGAGTAAGGGGTTTACTGAGTTGCCAAGCTGGGCTTGAAGTCCAGCTGTTTCAGCCACTCAGAGTGCTAGCAGTACAGGCTGCCCTACCATACCTGGCTGGAAAGGCTTTTTGTACAGTGAAATTAAGCAGTGTTTTCTTTCCTACAAAGTTTATATTTTAAACAAAATAAAACACTTTAAATTCTTGACCTGTTCTTTTATGTGGTGTGCTCACCCCGTCTTTGCCCTCTACTTTGTTTGGTTTGTGTCTTTGTTCATTTATACTTTTGCTAACTTCTATTAGTATGGATCCTTAACTTTCAAGTAATAGTTTTAGAGAGTAACATTTTCTCTTATTAGCCTTGTTCCTGTTAGCTGTTCTTTCATTTTTCACAGCTAAGTTTCATGGCCATTTGGCTTTGGTAGAGATACTGAGACAAAGTGGGCTTTGTAAAAATCAGAGATGACTATTTTGGGAGCTCTTTAGATACATACCTGAGACTCAGAAGTTTATAACTGCCAAATCTACTCTAAAGTTAAACCGCCACTATTCTAAGGTTTTTTTCAACTTGGTTGAGCTTCACAACTAATATTTGATATAGGTACTCTGAGAATTTCCATCTTATAGACAAGGAAATTAAGCCTAAAGAGGTTATTTAGTTTTACTCTACGCAAAAATGGTGGCACCAATATTTTAGATATTTTGTTCCAGAGCTTAGCCATATTGCCTTGCCTTTATTTAAAAGCTTATTTTAATTGAAATCAGCTTTGATAAAATACAATTTATTTTATAAGTTATATAAGTCAGCAATTTTAAGGGTATATTTTAATAAATGAATGTACCTGTGTGGCCAACACCTTTGTCACGATTTGGAATATTTGTATCATTCTAGCAAGTTTGTGCCGACACTTGGCACTGTTTTCTACCCCGATATCTGGTGTCTGGCAACCAGTGATCTGTTTT